GCCCATGTGATCATTAAAAACAGTTTTCATTGCAAATTTCTCCAACTCTCACGATAAACCGAGTGAAGCCTGTTTAACCTACCTACTACAACTAAATACATAAATTTTCAATTTCAGCCTCACCAACATACCCTATCCCGGAAGGATTCCGTCGATCCAACCACGAAGAAACTTCTTCCCCTCGCGCAATCCACATATCCAGTACTACATATACACTGACAATATTTCCACGTGATACGAGTCTCTTTCTGAAATGCATACGCAGATCAGAGTCACCTGGTCTTCAACGGTTCTTCTCCGAGAATCACTCTTGACGACTTGGTCTGTGCGGGCAAAACAGGTAAAAAAACGTACTCAGGGGAAGATCGTTGGTTCCATGGTTTTCCTCGGAGTATTTTTCGCCGGTTGTCATAAAGTAAGCTCCTCGACGAGTTTCGAGTTTCAAGGATGAACGTTGTCACGGGCGTCCCCTTGGGATCTAGGAAATAAATCCGTTCCGATCCGCGAACGTTAGCGCCATCTTCACCACAGTGGCGCTGAAAACCGGTTGCGCTGTCGGTAATATCGCGAATAGCTCTGATTTCCGATAACGGCTTCACCACGCTGCGAGTTGTCCACGCGTGACGAATGAATCAGTCGACGGGGCCGACGTCGTCGACGAGGTCGAGGGATGAAAACGGAAAGCAATTATTTAAATGCGTTCCATGCCGCGTAGCTCCCTTTCGTCGTCATATTTTCTACCCCTTCTAACGTTGGAGTTTCACTCGCTCTCCTTTTTTCTTTCGCCTCGTACCTGCTCGTTTTACTTTTCTCCACGAGGCGACCTCTCGTTCCCCATGACCGCTCTTTCTTTACGAGGCCCCAGTTTAAAGGGTGTCGTGAACGTCTGGCAGAGACCGAAGGGTTGGTGATTGTTTCGTGAGTCGTCGCGTAGTATGTCAGAAGGTTATTTCAATTTGATATGTAATAATGACAGGATAAATAGTATTTATTCTTCCCCTTCTTCTTTGTTTTTTTAATTTAAATTGAGGGTTAATTAGGTAGACTGTGATGAAATTGGGGGGGGGGGGCGAGATGGTATCACTATACTCCTAGATAATGTGACAATTTATCTTCTGGTATTTTAACGCCTCTCTAATAAAAAGACTAAGAAGAACCATATATAAGGGATTAACTACGGATTGAACGATTTAGCGGAATTACAAATGCTATAATATGTTGTTTAATGCAAAGCGAGTTAAAAATTAAATCTGCAAAAATAACGCATTCCTTCGATGACGAGTTTTTTAACATACTTTATCATATATTATATTTTATATGAATAAAATAGTCCCTTGCGTTTATTTAATACAATTCATTTGAATTTAATATACATAACCTGTCAAACTGAAAATATTTTGGTCCTCATCGAGGCTTCGTTTGGTCATTTACATGTTTTAGCTTTGACACGTATGCAGCTAGCTTGTAAATTTTACAACACGCTTTTAGACTCACCCTGTACATTCGTCGCGTCACCTCTCTCTTCTTTTCCCATTTTCTCGTTTCGCCCATGATTCCGACGAGAAAAGCGCGCGTCGCTAGAACGTCGGCCTTTATTACTGGCTTCGCTTCGAATCCCTGGCCAGAGAAGTGTATGTCGTACCAGCGACGTGTGGGAACAATGACGTTGCACTTGATGTCGATGCAGTCGATCCTCTTGAATTTCCCACCTCGACTCGGGATCGTGACTACTTAGATGGCCTTTCGATTGCAATCTTGCGATTATATATAGTAAAACGATGAATATCTGTATATGGACTCTTCGGATATTTTGGTTCTCTTTTTATACTACTGTACATGAATGGTCAATATAAAAAAACTGTCATAAAGATTTTGCATTACGAAGCTGGATGGAATATTTGTTACTGTATATCATCCGTCATTTTTTTAAGGGAAGCAGAGATGCAAATTAGGTAGAATTCTTTTTTAGATTACCAGAAGTGCCCGAAACGTGGTCATTGCGGTGTCGACATTGTTGATAATATAATGGGATTGTACATTATACGGATTATTTTATACATTATTCAATTTATTTTATTTCTGTTATAACATTATACGTATATAATACAATAAATGTTCCCTTCAACGTGCTTCCTCCCTTTTCTAAAAAGCCAACAAAGTAAAAGTAGCTTCCGGATGAAAAAATCCAACACTACATATATCCAACGTATACCAGTGAATTGATTTTCTTTTAGACGAATATTTGATATTAATTCACATAGAAATCCGAAGTCTGTGGAGAATTTTTTATTAAATTTTCTATTTTTTTAGATTCTGTTAAATTTTCGGAGGGATAGATGGTTTCAGATTGCTTTAAAGAAGATGGAGCTATAAAATTTTGATATGAACGTAGAGTAGATGAAATGTTCGATTTCGTCGTGATATGTAAATTGGGATAGAGTTACATTATTCGACTGCAATCAAAGAGCAATGAGTCGTGTAATTGGAGCATAATGAAACGATACTTTATTATCATTCATTGTTCTGGTATGTTATTGTACAATTGTACATTAGCTGCAAATTCGATCCCCCTATAATTATAATTGATTCCTTATCCTGTCCAAATATAATTAATCGTTCAAGCTTAATTCAGCCATTTTGCGCAATTATATCTTCCGCTCTTTCGTGGGAACCATATTTCGTGATTTTATTTTATCACCAGGTACCATTAAAATTACAAATTAGCAGATTTCCCACTTTTCTGCTTAAAAGAGAACGAACAGAATATATATTAGCAGACCAGCTGAATTAAATAACTGAATTTAATATCCAATAGTTTAGAACTGAATTTCAAAATTTTTTAAAAATTCTCAGTCCACCACTGTTCGTTCTTTATTCCTAATATTCCCCACTGAGTACGTCAACTGCGAAGTATTGGCGAAATATCGCGGAAGCAGACAAAGTTTCATAATTAGCACGTGCATTTTGTCGATAATTAGCTCCGATAATTTGCGAAATTCGAGTGTTTCGTGGCCAAGGTCTAACAAATACACGAGTGTCAGAAATTCTAGAAATTTGGCAACAGCGCGGCGACCATCCTGCCTCCGTCGGTACAGCAGTACGCGGCTTCAGTCTAACCTGATTAGTCCTCTCTGAAATATAAAATCTGTGCCGTTTGCCATTGTTACCGGAAGCCGTAGGAATCAGGTAGAATAAAAAAAGGGAGAGGAACCTCAACATGGTGAACACCAGGAATATTTCCAGGGGCTTCGTTCTTGTTCTGCAATGTTGCTTTTAGAAACGTTCGAAAAGTCTGGAAACCGTTCACGTCCGGCTGAGTCTCCTGTCCTGCCCGAAAGTTGTCCCGAATAACTAGCGAACAGTATTATTGAAATTTTGTTGAAGCTAAAACAGTATCGTGAGTTTGATAGTCGAAGTTTATCCATGTTTATTTAATGATGTCATAAAAGGCAGCAATTGTGAAAGTAGTTGCAGTTTGTATTATTCGAGTATAATGCAGAGTAATTTGGAGGTTACGTTGCGGACACGAAGTGTTTGAGGTTATGTTGTGATCATTTCAATATTATTTCACATGCCTCCGGTGACGCAATTACTTTAAATTTTTATCACGATATGTCTGCTATTAAGAATCTCTTCTAATAAAATAAAATAAAAATCTTATGTTTCTCGATATATATTTAATATTTATTTATATTCGTTCACTCGTCAATTTGATACTGCATGTATCAAACATACAGGAAGATATTCATTCTTAATTTTCAATAAGCAGGAAAGCAATCTCTACAATTCCATTTCATTTATCCATTTTTCCATTACTCTTACGAGCAATTTATCTTCCCCATCAAATCAATCGCGAGAAACGCCAAATCTCGTCTAGTCTCGGTCCGTACCGAATTTCTTCCGTTTCTCACAGCGCCACTGTAGAGGGAAAAACGAGGAGGGACGCGTCATCGCGGAGAACAATTTGCCGCGAAATTGTTACGGTCCCCGCGACGAACAGAGGCTCGAAACCCAATTACCACGTCGACGTTCCTCGATCGCCGACGTTCGGAGAAGCGAAGCCCACTGCGGACAATGCTAGCCGAAACTCTCATTTTCCCTCTCACCCGTCAATTATTTTTCGACGACACTCGTGGAAAGCAGACGGATGCGCGAAACGTCGGTGACCGCGAGGCATTCGAGTCGAGTCCTTTTGGATCTCCAATGCGACGAAAAGCGTTTGTTCCTCGCTGCGAATTGAACACCGACTACCATCTGACATTGGTCATCGTTATTTCCGAATTTTCGTTAAATGAATTCGCGAACGATCCCCCGAATACCGCAAAACGAATCGTGCCTAAGATACAGATTGTAATATATTTATACAAGGTGTGTCATTTCATTGTATCATTAGAAAATAGTAGTCTTAAGCTGCAAACACCAAGACTAATATTTGACGCCTTGTAACGTTCATATTATTATATGTTGAGTTTTAAATGTCAGACAAATGATAAAGACACTATGGGTAACGTGAATAACAAAACCACTGTTAGTAATTTACTTGTAATTTTATAATTAAATTGTCGATTCAATCGTTAAAATTACCGCAGGTTATTTCACCTATAATTTAATTATCAGGCGTCCCGAGAAGGTTGGGGTACTTACCGGTGGCGCTGTAATGGTTGGGAGTCGGAGTGGGGGGCAAAGCGTGAAGGGGAAACGCGGACAACGAGGAAAAGAATAGAGGGACGAGTTCGAGGGGCTCGACCGACATCCGGTGAAATCTGAACGCTATAATTTCGTCGAAATCGTGGCATCGGGCTAATCTTTGTCCTCGCTAATTGAGGCCTTTTCATTTCTCAGTAAATTACCACAGAGAATTGTCCGTGGTCTGCTCGGTCGCGTCGGTTTACCGGTTGGACTCGACGATAAAACGTCAGCCCAGAAACCTTAATTGAAACACCGTTTAATCGGGATTTATTAAGGTCGACGGTCTAATTTTCTATTCGATTATGTTTCAGGCTTAATCACGACCAGCGGACGGAAGCTCGATCGGGAGAACCAGGCAGAGCACGTTCTGGAGGTGAGTTTGCATACAAATTATTGTTGGCTAACGGGAGGGGGGAATAGTATTGTATATTAAAATTCGATTCGTAGTCATGGATCAAGGATTATGTGTGATGGTCCGTATTTTTTTCGATATCTCGTTCTTTTCCGATTAATCGAATGTGTCATGTTAAATTGAAAGCGGCATGCTAAATTACAGATTGGTAGCATTTGACGTATTTAATTTTATAAAATTATTATTCGTAATTAATTTTTGTCCGAATATTTCCTTTTTTACTTTTTCGTTTACTGGAAATAAATTTAAACGTGTATTTAATTACACACCAGTGAAATTGGAAACCTACATTTTCCGAGTTCGCATTTGACACACGTGACATTCTGAATATCTGGTTTTGAATGCTTAAGCAAATTTATAATTTTATTAATCGCTTTAAAATTTTCTTTCTTTCGTCATTCGAAGGTATAGGTATCTATTTATCAGTATATTTCATCATCGAGGATAGCAGTAATGTACTTAGCTTCATAATGAGATTGTCACTCATTCCTACCTTAAGTGGGGCTGTCGGTTAGGTTTGTCTCGTAGGATTGAGCTGACGACTATGAGATTCGAATTAACACATTCGTAATTATTGGGTACTCTATTGACTTTTATAATATTGAAAATCGGTAAAAGTAATCACAAATTAGTAGCCAATCTTTTACAACTCTGATATTGCGAGACTAATGCAATAATTCTTATTCCCATTCTAATAACCCAAACCTACAGCATAACTTCTTCATTTTATCGTGCTCTAAATATCATAATAGGAAAATTTAAAAGAATTTCCTTTTATGAGTACATTAATCCCATCACCTTTTAGGAGTTTAAACCATACTTTCTAGCTTGAAAGATAGCGTGTGTTCAAGCTCCTCTAATAATCGATAAACCAAAGCCTAATCCAAATGCCAATATCAAATTCTGAACTTCAAATTCCCCAAATACTTCCAAACAACAAACCCGTCGTTTCCACGTGGCACACCCTGCAAGCTCTTATCCTTCGTATCCCTGGTCGTATATTTCTAACACGATTTCCACCGGGTCTCTGCAGAGTTCCGCCTTGATAACGTAGACTTGGGAGCTGCTCTAAAAGCGGGATAGCTTCAGCAAAATAATCACGCTAAGTATAATCGTGCGTCGATGTGTACGAGAGCTTCTGCGAACCTCCGTTTGGGTTAAGTCCAGATTCGCGAGCAGAGCTAGCCGAGGAAAGGATGCCGAATTTCTCGAATTGTGGAGATACGCCACAACGGATTTTGGAATTTCTCTTGCTCGAGCTGCTAATTGCTGCCTGCTAATCTACCCTCGCTTTTGTCTTCTGGTACCTCTAACGTGTTCGGTATTAATTCGTTCACTGGGTCTTTTCGAAACCACCAACAGGGGTTAATCTTCTCACGCATGACAATGCAGTAAAATATCAGCAGTATTGTTGTTAGCGGTATGGGTTACCCATCAATTGGCAACTAGGCGTCAAATTGACTATGTCATTTGATCATGTAATTTATGTACTATGTAAAGACGGGAAGGCAGTTAATCTGTCTGACTGACTGTACTTTAGCAGCGACATCTCTTCTCACCTGCATTGTCAGTGCTGACTGAAAGATAGTAGAAATATATTCCTCTTGTGCAGTAAGATACCTATACTGCTAGTTTTGTTAATTCGTGAGAATATGGAAATCTCACGACTATGCTGTCGTAATTTATAACTGCTAAGAACCTTATAACGAATTAAGTAGGTTATCGAACTATTCCTCCTGCTTCTGTGCTGTTCAGTGTGCAGATATCTGGCCAACTTCTCATCTGTATACAGTAGTTGGTCTGCATTCGGAATGTATATCGTGCAGTATAAAGATATTCAACACTGAGTTGTGCGACGTTAAGTGTGTGCAGTAGAATGCCAACTTTTTCGAAGAAAGCACATGTTGGACTAAATAAATTCGAACTTTCGATGTGGAATTCTTGGTATAAGAGCATCGGTGGTATCGAACGCATATATCGAATGGTTTTGCAAGGACACGTATATGTGTTCCCACCCCATGGTGAAATTTTTAGAATTGCTATATGAGTTCATAGTACTGGGTTAACGTTGGGCAATTTTGAAAAGCATTTTAATCTTGTACCAATTTATACCGAAATAAATAGGTAGGGAATTTGCGTTTATATATCGTACGCAGCATACTGGATATTTGCAGTCAGAGCAGTATCTTCTTGACCACTTGCATATTTTCATGATTTTGTAATTCACTGTAGGATTTAGAACTAATTGCTTTTAATCCCTTTCATCATTGGGTAACGTGAGACGTAATGTATGCTCGAGTATACGCCGCAGGGCTGCTTCATGTTGGGACTATACCACTTGATGCGACTACAAATGCTGCTACATATTCTCAAGCGCTAATTTTCGAACGAAAAGCACTAGAATTTCTATCATAAGAAAAGTTCACGTTCCACTTGGAATATTAACATTATAAAACGAAGGACCTGTCACTGATCACAGTCACCTAGCTTAATCTGAAATTTGGATACTAATAATTTCTATGAAATAATCGTTTGTTTCTGATAAAACACACATAGTACCTTGATTAAAAAATGCAATTAAATTGGAAAGCGTAATTGTACGATTCCATTTGTATGGTAACTGTGCACTCGTAAACAGCACCAACAAAAAATTTAATAAAAAATGATGAAATTAAAATACAGATAAAAAAACACATAAAACAAATACATGTATATAAAAATATCAACTGAGAAAACAAACATGATACGAATAGCTACATTCCCTCCGCTCTATTAAACAAGCCAACATTCAATAACGTAACTTTCAAGGGACGAAACTCGATCCCTATCCGGGTCCCATAGAACCACATGCCGGTTCGTTTCACCCAAACAGAGCAACATCCAGGCATTCTGTACTGGTAGAGCAAAGCTTCTTTCTCGTGTACGCGTACGTTTAACTAGGAGAAGTCGAAAAAAAAGAAAACAAAGTATCGAAGATTAAATCCATTCGCAGAAGGAAGCAACGAAACGTCGAATAGGTAGCTAGTAGTTAAGGTAAATCGAATTTCCTAACAGCGTACTAACGCAAACAGGTGATAGGTCGATTACCGATGCACCCTTTCTACCTCTTAGTTTCACCTTCTACCCCTCGCAACGAATTTCTCAAATAGCCCACCCTCAGCCCTCCAGGCCCCACCTCATATCCTCTTCCGCCTGCTCCGGCTCCTAATATTGTCAGACTGGAAATGAGGAAGAAAATCGCATCCTCCCGAAGATTGAAAAGTAAAATGAGTAGAGTCTCCTGTCTCGCACGGTGAAAGCGAGAGGGCCAGCTTTAAGGGCGCCGTTCCCCCCGGAGGAACACCCAGGCTTCTTCTACTCTACAGCGGGGGTGGAAAGGGACGTGTTAGAAAAGGGAGCAGAGGAAAGTAAGTGATACTAAAATGGACGGTGGATAGAAAGGAAAGCAAAGTGTCGGCCAGTGAGTGGATAGAGAATCAAGGATGGTATAAGGTGAGGCATTTCTCTGCGGCTCTCGTCATCCGGGGCTCTTGGGGATTTCTTTTCGCATTCGGATTAAAGGAAGAGCACCACCCTGATTCCACTGTCTTTGTGCCTCTATACGTGTCTGCGTACATGTGTATGTTTGTCGCGAAACGCCCGGAATTTCGTTACAATGGAAAAAGCAAGGGAGAGGTATAGCAATCTCGGAGAAAGCTTCGCCGGCCGCCACCAGGGGCTACAAATAAATAGACCTGCTGGAGACGTCTATGGCTACTGCTTTTCGAGCTCCGTAACGAGTTTTTACGTGTCGATGGATTGAGATTGCGTGGGCAGCAATTCGGTCTCCGATACGACGCATCTCGCGACAGAGTAGAATTTATTAAGTCGCGGAACACCCTGATGTTAGGCTGTTAGACTTAGGGACGCGAAGAGTTACGGTCTATCAACCTATGCGCCAAGGATGTGAGGTTGATGGAACGTGCTATTTGCAATTTGTTAGTCCATTTGAGACTCTCGTTTCATTAATTTTTAGGACCTTGCTGGGCCATTGAGTGAATTGGTCGAGGATCTGTTCGAGCTTTGGGGTTTGGGTTGAGTTTGTCATTTCAGTTGGATGACGAAACTGGGATAAAGAGATGACTAATTCAATCGTGAAATATAACGTATAACTTTTCCAGCATATTGTAATTATTATGTGTTTAATTTGGATTTTTGAAGGGAAATATCACTATCACTATCGTCATATGTAAACTTGAATCATCTTGTACGAAATATTGTATGGTATTTTATGTATTTATCCAGAATACCTTCTTTCTGGGTATTGAATTTTCATTGTTTATGAAGTATTAGACTTGGGAAAATTGATGTTGAAATACGAATGTTTGTGTTATAAATTGTTTTTGCCTTTGTTCTTTCTTGTCTTTTATGTCCGAGAATGCCTTGCTGATCGGATGTGTGTTAGTACTAATTTTCACCGAACGGTAGTGTTAAGTATTGCTTAGACATGTTTGGGGTTACTCGTACTAATTCAGGCTTTTCTCACGTGATGTGACATCAGTCAACATTCTGATATTATGGTAACGTAAGAGGAAGCTCCTTAAGCTACGAGGCTTTGCTTGAACAACAGTGACTTAAGTCACTATAAGTATACATGTAGCTAATTATATTCTACATCAAGATGCAAATTTTATGGCGTAGAGTAGTGAAAACGAATAAAATAGAATTCAAAATTAATAACTTCTCACGAGCTTCAACCCTTCTGATAACTTGCCTAATCTCCAAGTACACATACAAACCATTTCCAAGAAGGGATGAACGCATGAAGTAACATGTCAGTTTATTTATCTTTAAAAGAAATAATAAAACAATAAATTGGTAAAATCAGCTTCTCATCTTTTTTGTCACAGACCCGAGTAAGAACTGCTTAGAGGTCCAAATGAACTTCAAAATTTCGGAGTTTTACAGATCACTTCATGTTA